CAAATAGAACTGCCCGGTAAACCGTAGGCAGAGAGGGAGAAGAGGATATATATATATATATATATCGTCACAAATAGAACTGCCCGGTAAACCGTAGGCAGAGAGAGAGAAGAGGACAACAAACGAGGGGCTGTGACAAACTGTTTCGTATATATATATATATATATTGGAATTTTCGGCAGCATGTCCTTACCCCCCATGGGGTCCAAAATGTGCCAAAAGAAAGGAGAGACCAAGATCAACACATTAAGTTTCAAAATGCCGTAAATGATAAATTTCAAATAAATAAATAAATAAATAATAAGTAAATAAATAAATAAATGAGGCGATGGAGAGTGAAGAGAGACTAAGTGTTGAATTTTTCAAAAATTTCGACAACATTTCGTTACCCCCATGGGTTTGAAGGGTGCCGACAAAGATATGACTAAGTAAGAGGGGAGAGAGTAGGGAGAAAAAACAAAAGAAAAAAAAATCGGCAGCACTTCGTTACCCCCACGGGGTCAAAATGTGCGCCTAGAGCTGAAATGACGAAGTCCTAAACAGATCTAGAGGTGCCGCAGATAAATTCGAATTTTTGAAATAAATAAAATAAAAAGAAAATAAATCAGAAAATGACAAAGGAGGAAGAAAGAAGAAGAAAATTCAAATTTTGAAGAAATATGAAATTTAAATCAAGCGAAAGACAATGAAAAGAAAAACAGAAAAATTCGAAGTTGGGGTGGGGGAAGGGGATGAAAAAGTGAAGAAGGAAGAGTCCGAAGAGATAAATAGGTGAGAGACTCGCTATGTTACCAATGGTCCGGGGGCCGGTGTCGGGACTGGTGGGTCCCGAATAACTTCCTATCACTCGAGAGATTGAATACGGACGATTTGTGCACAACAGAGAAATCTGAAGTGAGGAGGCAGGAGAAAGAAAAGACAAAGGATTAGGCCGCAGAAGGGAATGATGCCCTGAGGAGAGAACCACAGGAGGAAAGAACTAGCGGCGGCAAGCAAGCGAGCGCAAGAACAAGAGCACATAGAACATAGCAGGAGGCCGGGAGGGTTATCGGAATGCAATAAGACTACGGCCAAAGGGCCCTGTGAACTAACAATTGCAGCGCGACAACAATAAGGGAATGAGGAAGTCGAGGGATGGGCGACCTGAAGCCGCGGGAAGCCAGGAAATGAGGGCCAACACGGAGGCCACCTACGGGAGCCTCGGAGCGGAGGCCCACGACCAAAGAGATCGGCACGCACAAGGCGCGAGGAAAGACTAAGGAGAGGGGTCGCTGTGGGGCGACAAGACGCCCAAGGAGCATGGGACACCTCGGGGAAAGGCACCCGGGGCCACGTGGGACTAAGTAAAAATAATGGCGTACGGGGCGAAATGTGTCGGGGATCGCCGACGGGACTAATGTGTCGGGGACCGCCGACGGGACTAAGTGTCGGGGACCACCGACAGGACTAAGTGTCGGAGACCGCCGACGGGACTAAGTGTCGGGGACCACCAACGGGACAAGTAGCGGGGACATGTGAAAGTCCCAAGAAGAAACGGCGGCACCGCATGAGGGGAAAATAATAAATACAAGGGGCACCGTCAAGATCGACATCTTAACGGCCAAGTACTAGTGGTGACAAACAGGAAGGCCAAAAGGAAAAGGAAAAGTAAAGAAAATTGAAGTGGGAGGCATGGGAGCAATCCAAAAAATCTCGGATCAGCCTCCCTCAAGAAAATAGAGTYAAATGAGACCCMATGTGAAAAATAGCCCTCCGGWAGAAAATCGGAGTAGGAGGGRCCATTGGGGGAGAAGTGTAGGAGTAAAAGGAGGCTCCCATGGATATGGGAAGACCATTATTGCARTCCGAGAAATAACGGACTGCACCTTGGGCATAGGGAGGGCCAAAACTAAGAGGAAGAGRCTAGAAAAGGGCCTTAACGGCCACTTGACACTTGACATGCTAGAAAAAAAAGAGAAAAGAAAAGAAAGTGGGGGAGAATAAGACAAAAGGAGTGAGAGGGAGTGAGTGAGTTGGCCGTCAGTAGGGACTGCCATAGGTAGGGACTGGCAGGTCCCTACTGTCCAAGAAAGGATGAGAAAGAGAAAAGAAAATAAAATAAAAGAAAAGAAAAGAGAAAAAGGCCTTAACGGTAAAAAACGGTCACTTGGGGAGATTAATCCGTGACCAGATTCATTCTGGAATATGGCGGTTACAAAAGACTTTGATTTTCTTTGATTTTTGCAGAGAAAATCAAATAAAATCAAGGCCTCTTGCAACCAGAATAAAACGGAATGCATGCATGAGGAGAAACACATGTTTTAGGTGCATTCGGAGCCAAAATTAAGTCCGGATGCACTTGGGAGTTGGCCGTTTCTTTTTATTTTGAGTGAGGGCTAGTTGTGGGGCATTGGGGCTAAGGAATTGACCCCCATTGCAGTCCGAGTTACAACGGACTGCATGGGGGAAGGAAAACACATGTTCTAGGTGCATCCGAAGTTAATATTGAGCCCGGATACATTAGAAAATTTAACGCTTAATTTTCTTTCAACATGGGGCAAGTTGTGGGGCTCTGGGTATGGAAAACAGCCACGACTGCAGTCCGAGAAATTACGGACTACATGAGGATGCCAAGGCCAAAGGGAAATGGGCTACGGCAAGCCCGAAAAGGCTAGAAAGGAGCAATCTCGGCAAGGGGGCAAGTAAAGACGGTAAACGACGACCGTAAGATGGGATCTCGCAGCCAAGAAAAATCAGAACACATGTAGAAATGATGGGACCACCAAGGGCAATGGGTCCAAAAAAAATAAAAATGGGACGTCGTTCGGAATGTTGTCGGGGGCCAAATGGATCAAAATAATAAAAATCGGAAAAACGGGACATTCGCCGGCGGGACCGCCGGCGGGACAAGAA